GTTGACCTGGTCAAGAGTTAAGAGGCCAAGCAGCAACATATTTTTGATATTTCTGTGCACCTCCCATGTTGAATAGCACATGAAGATACACTAGAGTGTTCACCAGAAAGTGATTTGCCTTCAGGAACCATAAAAAACTTGATTTGTCTTCTGCCAAATTTTGTGAGCTTAGAAAATCTCAATTAGATTAAAAKAATGCTTTAACATGAAACACTGACTTATCTGGTTTTGGGAAGGGAGGTGRAAGGGACAGAGTCTCTGTGACTCTTTATCATAACATTCTGGCATTTTATGTATAAACACAAATTCTGAAACATCTATAAAATTTTACTTAAACCCAAAATAGACCAAGGATACAAAACACAAAAGATTCCACTTCTAATATTGCTTTGAACAGACAATGTGTCTTCATGTAGTATTTGATTTAATGCCCATTTTACCACAGATGGTATAATCACAAAAAACTGAACACTTGAAAGGAATTTAACAAACAGAACCAGATGTAAAACATCTTGAAGCTAASAAACTCATCACAAAGATTAAGGAAGACAGGAAAATACTGGGTTTCAAARCTTCCAGCAGACCAACACATCTGTGCAGCCCAGAAATGCTTTCCTACTTCCTGATGTGTTTACACAGCGAGGAGATGCAGCAGGAGCTGGATCAGAAGCAATTCTCTTTAGAGGTTTCATTACCGTGTCTCTGCAGCAGAGCCAGGGCACAAAATAATATTATTAATGAATAATAATACATAAAATGCAACTGGAGAACATGGATGCACTGGCCTTGGCAGAAGTAATACAGGCAGGTGGGAAACAAGGAAGAAATGTGCTGTTATACTCCAATAACTAATATTAAAGTAGATGGACATTAAAGAATCTATGAACAATTGTGCATTTTATTACTGGTTAAGGGGAGGGCCCTGTGGASCAACTTTGCAAAACCATTTTTAAACTGTAATAAGAACACCCTGCAAAAAGATGCTCCTTTCTATGAATGCTTAAAGGAAATGATACAAACAAGCAAATTAACATTTCCTTTATTTAATCTTCAGAAGCAACAGTCCTCCTGAAGAAATTCTGCCCTCATCTACACCAGCCTTGTAACCATATGTACTTTTTAAGGCTGTGCTTACGAATTTAATTCCTCACATTGGCCAAGGATGACCATTAGCACCTACATCCTCAACACCACAGTTTTAAAGTCCAACACAAAAAGCAAACACTAGTYTGCCTGAAAATTTTAAATGCCTCAAACTTCCCAAAAGTACTTGTTTGAAATTTGAGTGCTGATCAGAAGAGAGCAGAAACTTGAGCCAAGCATGGGAGAGCCAAGATCGTGGAGAGGTGAGCAGACACCACCAGCAGCCAGGAAAGGCAGCAGTGCCAGAAGTGTTATTTCCAGTCTCCAGTCATGACTCCTAAATCCCTTMAAAAAAAATCTTTCAAAGCTCTCATCCACTGTAGTGGTTCTGGACACTGTCCACATTAATCACTCATAGGAAAAGAAGAAAATGTTATGCTTGTGCAAGCAAAAAGCTCATCAAGCTGCATGTAAAATTGAAAAGTTTGCCCTTTCTAGCATTTGGAGCCCAAAAGTACAATGGAAAGAAAGCACTGAGTCAACAGCAGAGCATCTGCAACCACTTTGAGAGAAGATGGAAGATAAGCAGTGCTGRAGGCATGCTCAGGAGGAGTTTCTACGTGACAGCTGCCTTCAGCATTCCAGTTTGCTGGCTGTTGTCACCGTTTGGTTCAAAGAGAAAYGCTGCTGCCACAGAACTCATTTTAATACCGTTTCAGCAAAATATCTCTTGCTCCCCAGGGATTAGATACCTAGTTGTTGCCCATCCAGCTTCCAAGAAAGATTCAAAACTGTCAGCAATTCACCTTCACCATGTCAGCTTTGCACTGATTTCTGAATGCTGGGCTACATGAAGAGATCTTGCAGTATTGAAAGAATCAGCATTCGTAGCACTGAACTGTCACTTCTAAGCACCTGGTGCTAATTGAAACAAAAGGAAATTATCCTTTGGTTCCATTTTGTTTTCTCTTAGTGTATTCATGTGTAACCATACAGCAAGATTTACTGTCTACARTAAATGTCCTTATGTCCTCAACCTCAAAAAAACTCACATCCTCTTTRGTTTTATATTGTATATACACAGCAKRAGATCACAGTTCCCATGGMTGGCTTTAGTTTTGGGACTATAAGCTGTGGCCATGTGCATTCCAGGCCTCTTCAACTCTTCTGGGTAACAAACAGTGATTTCTATCACAGAAAAAAAAGTGTAGCAACGTCCCTATCAGTCTGTGGTCCTAAGGTTATTAAATTAGTAGCAACATTATTTCTTGAAACATTCATCACCCATTGTTAGAAGTGACACATTTTTACTTCATTATATAATTATTTGGGGATTTTTTTCTCATGTTTTGCTTTTTCCATCTGTTAGGTTGCATGAAGTTGCAACACAATTTTGGCACAAACTGGGTAATTTCCATCACAATGTATTCATTTTTCTTCATATTTKCATCAACATCTGGAATCATTCTACATTTCTCAGAGAAAATATTCCCCAAATCTTACTCCTTAGAAGAGTGGGGAAATTTGACACTASACGATGCTCTGACTAACACAAAAATGTTCTACATCATTTGAGCTTGTTTTCTTAATAGTAAACGTTCTACAAAGTCAGAGGAAAAAAAATCATCTTTATTAACCTACAGCTCTTCCTAATAACTGTGTCAATATTCAAAATTGGCAAGTATGACTGTTCGATTACTTTATTTTTTTTTAAAGTTTGCTTTATTAACTCATGAAATCATGTAAAATATTAGAATTATACACACTATAAAAAAGCACATCTGTAGCACAGGAAGCAAAGATARGACTCAAATTTTCCTTGATATAAATATAGCATCTACAAAAAGCCTTTTGTAATTTCTGGCTTCTTGTTATTTCTGCTCCTGATACTATCTTAAACCAAATAAAAATAAAGGAATTTTATACCAAAGCACAAGTGTATTGTGTGCTTTTCAGATTACAAGATATTCCTCACTCACAACCACCCCTAACTGAAGAWAAGAACTCCTTTCTCTTCCACTATTCTCAAATACCTCCCCCCCTACCTGACTGCATGCCCCTACACCTCACCACTTTCAAAGAAGCTGTCAAAAATATTGCGGACACCAATCACATACATAGCAAATTTTTCTACACGTTCCCCAATTTTTACATCTTCTAAAATCCTCAAAAACTTTGCAGCAACTCCAAATAAAACCAAGCCTTCCTTCTGCTCAGATCTCTGTGCAAAGGAAGCTGTTCTTCAAGGATAACTTCTGCCCATCACACCTTTATTAACCAGCTTACATCAGTACTCATAAAACTTGTGTAACCATGTTTTCTAGGACTTCAGAAAAATAAGTGTCTTCCAGTAATTGTTAGGTTGGAATGGGGGCCAACAGGAAAGAGAGATGGCTCACTTATAATCTTTACAGAGCTTGGAGACCCCATCTGTTTTCTCTGGTGTATTGGCAACATGTCTTAGAACACAACTTTTTGTTCAGACTGAAAATCACCAGTTTTGTTCAGTGACTGGTAGTAGAGAGAGACATGGCCAGTTTGTCCAGGGAGCAKTCCTGCTGCTGCTGTGCCATGCCAGCTGCTGGGAACACTGCTTGTACAAGGAGAGCAGCCAACAGCCCTGATGCTCCACTACCTCCTCCCATCCCACACCAGCTTTACACTCTGTTGAAGCCATGGCAAGCAGTATGTCCAAATAAATGGTCCACAAAGGAAGCTACCTTGCTTCAGACCTCACTGTTGGTCAGACATCAGAAACACCATGCAATCTGCAAGTCCACTGCCTGTACATTTCCACCTAGTTTATATCARTGCCTGGTAATTTGGCGCTTCCTGCCACACCCTTCAGCTGTCCTCAAAAGAACAGTTACGGATCTATTTCTCTTACAGACTTGTTCCCACACCCCCAATTCTCAGCAGGTATTCAGAAAAACAASTCCCAGATTTGTGCGAGGTCATTGAGCCAGGAACAGCCACTGAAGTGGAGAGCTGTGTCTATAAAAGTCACCACAGAGACGGTGTTAGGCTGGGCTAACGAGATAGCCAAGAGCACTGAGGGAGGCAGAGCAACACTGAACTTGCACCAGCACCTGTGGAGCAAACAGACAAAACTGATCGTGTATGTGTGCATATGATCTCAGTGAGACGGATGTGACTCCTGCCAGCCTGACTGGCCCTGTCCCAGCAGCACAAAGAAAGAATTCCCTTCCTCCCACCCCAAGACACACTGGAAGTGACAGTAAAATCACTCTCATGAAGAACACACACAACTCTTCCATTAATCTGACCAAAACACAGTCAGTCATTAAAATGGGAAGACCAAAGAAAGAATAGAACTCATGAGCCGAACCACTAAAACCTGCTATGAATCRAACCTGTGATAATTTAACTCCTCTTAGATTCAGGAGAAGTACTTCAAAAAAGCATTCTCACTTAAAAGACACACAGAGACACTACATGTGATATAAAAGAACAGTAAAACACACGAAGCATTAGCATGTGAAAGAAACATGTTGCAATTATGTCAGATACTGCTTTTTATATTTTATTAACAAGCAAGCATCCCTGGAACTGGCTCTATATAAAAATACGTCATGAACCAATCAGAWTACAAGGGAGTTATATAAATTTATTTTATGCAACACTGATTAGTTTTGAAATTTTCCATTYGTAAGGTTTTAATTTCAACTTTTATTTTTTAAAAAATCACTAAAAGGACACAACCCACAAAAATACAATCTGTATCTGCTCTATATTTACAGATAACTGGTCACTATTAAGGCACAGATTTAAAACTAACGTTTTATGTAGCAAGTCAAATATTTGTGCATAATGTAACACTAACAATACGATATACTGTACTGTTATATTCCCTTTGTGGAATCAAAGTAAGTGAGAATTTTTTTACTTCCAGTGTGTTCTTTTTTTTTTTAATGTGAAGCCCTACTGAAAAATAATGTTGTTCATGGGAAATTCTTCACTTTGGTGTAGATGAAATWGGCACTGCTCAGCAAAAGACCACATCAACTTAATACTGTAATAAAATCAGTTTCTGAGTATAGTACCGTCTGCATTCATAGCATGTGCTTACAAAAGACTAAAAAACTGAGTGTAAAGCTTTCTGATGCTTTTAAGTTTAGGCAAAATGAGCAAGAAGGGGTTGCAGAAAATTCTGTACAAAGTGTTGCTGAACATTTACTTGATTAAAAATACTTTATAAAATAACGAGTCAGAATACAATTTGATTTGCAAGCACTGGGCTGGCAAATGCAAACATTTACATGATATCTTATCCTTTACAAGCATGTAAATAGTCCGTGTGAATGGACCTATCTGCATGCTCAGAAGTAAGCACAAGTGTAAATCATTTCAGAGTGAGAAGCTGTGCCTTCCAAGAGGGTTTCCATGAGGTTGCTCTTCCCTGTGTCACACACACACACACAAATCTCTCATGGACACATGGATATTGACTCTTGGCATTGAGCACTGTAACTCGGTGTGAACGACTGTGTGAGTACCAGATAAGAGTTTTAGCCAGTTACAGCTGCAGTACCATTTGTAAACCAGACGAAGCTACTACTTGATCTACAGGGGAAGTCACCCAGTTATACACTATTAAGTAGATATGGCTGAAATGAGCACTGAGCAGCAATTTTTAGCTAATCACAAGACTTTATATTATTGCTTAATCATCTATGCCCTCAAGTAATAGTCTCTTTAAATTCCCTTTGTGTGTGCAAATTTCTCCATACATCATTTTGCATTCTCACCTTAAAAGAAAGAATTATCCATGGAAAGTGTCAAAACTCTCTCACCCATTTTTTGCATAAACCCCAACTACTGTAAATGTTATTCTAATGCCTTCTGCTWAGAGCACTTGACAGTGGTTCATGTCCATCTCAAAAGGCTTGTACACTGAACATAAATAATACATTACAGTAGAGGTAATTCACAATATTTCTCATGGGAATGCTTTTCAATTAATGATTGGAAACTACACATTGCATTGCAAAAAGAGGCACTTTATGGATTCCTTCATTATATTGAAACCCTTCATAAACCCATAACACAACATCTGTAAAGACAGAGGAATAACATTGCCAAATCTTTCGGACTTTCACAGTATAAGAATGCAAAAGTTAGCTCTAGCCACTTAGAACATGGACTCTTTCTGTTGAACATAACTTGTTTCAGAAATAGTTCATCTCCAGAGTTTCAAACACTTCTGCAGCTGACAATTACAAATCTAGATCGAACAAAACAGATGCTATGACACCTATTTTATGTAGGTCACTTATTGCTGCATGCATAGTCATGTAAGTAACATGTGTCATTTATTAAATGGCAACAGTGCTGTCTTGTCAAATTAGATTAGTTGTCTGTTTAATCAAACTGACAGCCCAGAGCTCTAGTTTGACGAATGCCTTTCGGTCTCTACCATAAATCTGCAGTAGATTAGTTTAATCTCTTAYGTATTGTAGGTGTATAGAATCTAAAAATAAAAGTCTGATATAAATAAGTGTCCTTTAGTGGCAGGGTACTAAAAATTGCCCTTTGCTTTGACACAACCATTAAAAACAGTTTTAGCATAACAGGCAGCAGTTAAATATGTTGACTGCAAAGGGTTAATATTGCAAGGKCCATTTTGGTCTTTCATTGCATCTGTTACAGTGAGTATTATTGCAGGCAGCACTAGACTGCTTCATAAGAGCATAATAGCACTGGTCCACTACCAGATGACTTGATTTTGGAACAATCTCTTCAGATAACTACCTGGGAGACAGAGAGAGGAAAAAACAATTCTGCGTAAGAACCAGTTTCTAGTACCATTATAGTGAGATGTGACTTAATGCAGGAACACCTGAAAAAATTTGATTAGTGCCAATATAAAAATTGATATGGAAATGAAAGAGAGAAATAAATTTCCACAGGACAAGAAATCAGAACATGTAAAGTGCAGAAAGACCTCAATAATTATTTTTAAGCAGTACCAGAAAAATCCATCTTGATAAAACCAAATCTATGCTCTCTGGCATCCCAGCTCTTCATTCTTCCTTCATTCAACAAAGTAAAAAATTCAGTGCATACATTATAGTTATAGGTAATAAAATACTAAACAAAGAACCCTATATTATTATTATTGCAAATTCTGTCCAATCTACATGAGTAAAACGTAACCCACATTTGGTGTTTCAAAAAGACAACCGACAACGTGTTCTCTCTGATTGTTTTGGCACAGTACTGTGCAGACTAAACGCTTTGGTCCTTGACACCCAAACTCCCAAAGTGCAGAGGGTGGTGTGCAGTGAAGGCTGTCCACAGGATTGCCATGTCCATCTGTCCAGCTGACTCTGTGAGCCCAGCTTCCTGCTACCAGCGCCCGCTGACGCTGGCAATGTCCGAGTGATACTGGCGCGGCAGTCTCCCGCTGGCTCCGCCTTCCAGGAACGAGGCACGCATGTTGGATGGGTCAAAGAGCTTTCTTCGGTTTTTATTCAGTTCTGGAGAGGTCAAGMACACCCACAAATATCTCCCATCAGAAATTCATTTTAATATTTGGATCTAAACCAAACGCAAGACTTCTGTTTAAATGAACAAAGGGTTTTAGACAGACACAGTRTGAACTGAAAACATCTGTGAGATACTCCTTCAATTTACAATTCAACAGGATAATAAGAGTATCAGGTTAAGACTCAGGCTCCTTGGGACACAAGCATCTACTTGGGGCAATTCTWACTTGGCACTGATACAGCGTGAAGTAGATAATTTTTTGCAATATTGAYTTAGAACAAATTGACATAGCCGAAACTTATAAAATTTTTTGTAATAATACTCAAAGACTGCAATCTTCCTRGAGGCACAACCATGCAGTGTAGACTGAGATTGACAGAAAAGCTTATTACCAACCTGATCATTTCTCAATGCACAATTCTTTGTTTTAAACATAAATCTGCAGCAATATTTTAACAAGGACTTTCAGAAAAAAACAATGTTCACCTCTCATTTAAACAAGGACCCTAATCTTGTATTAGTAATAGCTCATCCAAAATATTTTTCTTTTCCCCATTTTTTCTGTTCTTGTAAACAAACTCTGTGCTAGATACAAATCACTGAAATATTACACAGATTTTCATGACTGCAACTGAACTATGTACATTTGCAAACCAAAAAACAAAAATAACCCAMAAAGTTCCCCMAAAGCAGGCACTTTTTCCCAGTAGKACGATTGCTTTGCTAAKCAATAAAAAGGAGGACAGGGAACCATAAAGTTGGAAATGCCGGTTCTGACTGGCTGTTTGGACCCTGTAGTGCCTGTATGCCCAGAGATTCCAGGACCCACAATCTGGGGGCATCMAACTTGACAATCTGCTGAGAAATGAACTTTCTACCAAGATCTGCAGGACTATTGCAATGTGAAACATCTATAAAACCAGAGCTTTTAAGTACCTCTGGTGAGGGGCAACCTAGTGTTATCTCTGTGGACTCTACTCCTTTTCAGTCTTTCCAAGGCTTTCGTCCTTTCTTGGCTATAAATACATAAATTAAGTGAGAAGAAATCAAACAACGCTTAAAATCAATAAGGATACACTGTGTTTTTTACCTGAGATTGCAAGCAGCATTTTCCTTCTGGCACCAAAAGTGGTAATTCCCAACTCTTTCAAATCTTGATCAGTAAGAGTAAGGAATGTCTGCAGATCAATCTGAAGTAAAAAGAAATAGGAAAATTAGGCAAAACAACTCTTTCCACAAAATATTAAGTAATAAATGTGTTTCAGAATAGCTTCATTTTGTTCCCTGCTGCATTTTACAGTTACTCTGCCAAACTATTCTTTATATGTAAACAGCAATCACGACTTTTCAATGGCTTCTTCACACAGTTGCTCAATTTGCTGCATTTCTGGCAAAGAAGGAGAAATTAAAAAGTAATCTGCTCTAAAAAAAGTGAAGAAAAAAAATTAGTCTTACTTATTTGTGAGCCTTGAAATGTTGAGTATTTACCACAATTGTAAAATGTATGATCTGGCTTTGAACAAACAGTTCGTGAAAATCCTGTCTCAGTGTAAGCTCTAAAAGTGGTTTTTTTTGGTGAAGAGACAATAATTACTGCTGGAAAGCACCCTACCCACACAGAGGTGCCTGTGAAGGAACACCAACCTCTTGCTGCTGGAACACATCTGTGTATTTGCCCAAACCGAGTTTGCTGAAGAGCTCAGGCAGGTCAGATCCCTTAAACAAACTGTTGAGGTTACAGCCATTGCTTCCTGTCAGCGAGGAAATGCAGTCCATGTAGTTACTGCTGCTGAGATAGTGTTCAGCTGAAAGGGAACAAGTGCACTCTTGAGACACATCACACAAGGGCACCATTTCCCACCAACATTATACTCAACYAGATCATTAAAATTATAGACTGTTGAAATCTTTATTTTTCAAGGAAAAAATAGCCTCTCAGTGGCTCAGAGAAYGAACARTATAAAGCAATTTTTTTTTGTTAATTAAGTTCCAATATTTGTTTTCTTTATAGCTGCTTTTGTCCAGCCAACTCATTGCTGTTTCTTTGATCCTTCAGCCACACATTTTATTCTCTGGGAAAGCTACAGCTGCCATAAAACATTTTCTTTTGCTGCCAATGAATTTATGTTTCTGATTTTATTCTAGCACACACATTAAAACATTTTTAATCCTTATTTTAATAAACCTGGAACTTTAATTTTTATCTAATGAACTTGAAAACATCAGTAGATTGATTTCAAATAAACTTGGCATCTCTTTAGTACTTCAAGTACTCAGAATATGATGTACAGCTGTTCACAGCTCAACTAATGTGMTTTTAAAAACCACAGATTTTTTCTCTAATTGGAGCTATCCTTTCTTACATGTCCAAATTTTATTATCTGTGTACTCAGAATCTGGGATTTAAGTTTTACACAATTTTAAAAGTAAACRCAACAACATAAATTAAAAATAGAACGGTACTTATTTCCCCATAAAGCATATAGGTAGTATGGATTTAGTATTCTCTACCTCCCCTTTTCACTCTTTCAGAAAAGCATCTATTAAGTTATTAAAAAAATAAGACTTCAACTAAAGTAAAACTTTAATTTGTAAACTTCAAACATTGTATAAAAAGTAATTACAAAATATACAGCCTGTATTCACAGAAACCAGTATTTAAAATCATGCTAGGCTATGCCAAGCAGATGGACAGGCTTCTTTTCACAGAATTGCCTGAGTCAGAARGGACCTTAAAGTTTGTCTTATTCCAAGTCTTCTGCCATGGGCAGGGACATCTTCCACACTCCAAACTCCATCCAACCTGACCTTGGACAGTTCCAGGGATTGGGCAGCCACAGCTTCTCTGGGCAGTGCCAGTACCTCACCACCCTCAYAGGRAAAATGTTTCCACAATATCTGATCTACATGTATGCTCTTTCAGTTTCTAGCCATTCCCCTTGTCCTGTCATTACGTGTTCTTGTAAATTTTATCCCCATGTAGAGAATCATGCTTTAAAATTCAGTTTCAGCCAGGATTATGACTTCACCATGAGCAAACAGCCCAATAAAGCCCTGGTAACAAAGCAGAATGAGAGCAATCTCAAAATAAAACTTCACACAGGTCTGGTTTCAGTATACCTTGAAAAACCACAGCAAAAAGTTTTTAGCAAGAATGTCTGGCATTTAACAAATACCCTTAAAAGTTTTCTAGTCGGACCATTATTTGTATATCAGGTTACACGAGCTTGTACTTCTCAATTTGTGAAAAAAAAAATAATTACAGGTGTCAGTAATTTAAAACCCTAGTGAAGTCACGGCACATTCATATTAAAATAAATAYTGGCATTAATATGATTGTTTTCTTTTAATCAGATCATAAGAGTTTATTWACCTGATTTGTTTTGTTTCCGTTTGGGGCTGCCAATTGAGGAGACAAAATCATGAGCAGTGGGTCCAAGGCCATTCCGGTCTCTCCAGTTATCGGATTCACTGCCACTGCCCAGGTGCTCCCGACTGCTGGACCGGGACAGAGACATGGATGAACCCTGCAAATCACACAAACAAAAGCTGTGCTGAAAACAGAGCTTTCATTGTGACTCAGATGTTTTCTTTGAAGCAGYTCAGTTAAAAAGCAGCTTTTAAAGCTTGCAAACATTTTTTTGGCAGTTGATCAATAGTCAAATAGTTGCAAACCGGACACAAAAACAGCAGGTGTGCCTCAAGCATATGCAGTTTACAGTTTTCAAGCAGGAGTTATTTAAAGACCATGATTCAAAATAAATTGCTCGGTATTTCCAARTTTGTTTCCAAAACATTCCATGGTATCAAATTCCCACACAAATTCTAGACTAAGCAGTCTATTGACTACATCCCTTCACAGGGAAGAGAACATAACAACATTTATCTGAAGATAAGTGGATCAAGTACACAATACTTTACAACAGTCTTGCACAAACACTCCAACAATTCTGCCATGGTTTGTGAATTTGTAGTTGTTTTGTCTGGGGTGTTTTTAAATAGATTTTCATATTCTTGTGAAACACTGATTATCAACTCTTATCACTGTGGGTCAGAGCATCCCAATACAAGGCAACGGTATTCAGTGGGAACATACCCGAAGGAAAGAGACTTTATAAATATCACATACTTACATGAGCTAAAAATTGTGGAAGTTAACAATTTAATTCTATAAACTTTCATCAAATTGCAATTGAAAAGCATCACTTAAGAGGCAGCAATCTTTTACACTATCTAGCAAAAGTGACACCCCTGAAGAAACACTGGTTAGAATCACAGACACACTTAGAGATTTTTATATATGAAGGCCTGGGGGAAAATCCCACCCCAGCACAACCAACACAGAAAAGTAAACAAAAAAAAAAAAAAAAAAAAAAAAAAAAAGAAAAAAAAACCCCACAGATTTGGCTGCAGCTTTTTCTTTCCCCTAGTTACTACTGCATTACATGTAGCCAAGCTACATGTACCCGAATGGCTCCGAAAGTTGACATGTCAAGAGGAGGACAACAAGGAACATTTTCATCCTGGCTGAATATTTCTTTTGCATTAMCAGGTATATCCTAGAGAGTGAAGAAGTCCCCTTCTTCAAGAAACATGCCATTTACATTTTACAAAAGCAGGACAGAAAAAGGTGTCTCCATGGAAGCTGGGAAGGATTACAGCAAGGAAACAYTAAAAAGCAACTTCAGAATGCTGTTGAGAAGAAAGGAAGAAATTCCCTGCACARTTGCCATGCAGGGACTCTGAAGAGAACAGCTGGACCCATCTGCCTCCTGCCTGGGAAARCTCTGGGCCCAGTGAACAGTGCAAGCAGAGAAAGCTGTCCCCATTCTGTCCACAGAAGGAAAGAGGAGCTACTCATTCTGCTGCTCTCCTCCACCATGCACTGAATCACATGATACAGTTTACCTGTTACATATACACTGTTTTCATCAGGCTACAAAATCCCTATGGCTTATTAGCAACTACCCAGACATTTGGTCCTCTAAGTTGTTTTAAGCTGCTTTAAACAAATATGTTTTAAGAAGCAGACTTCTATGCCTCTATGACATCTATAAAACAGACATAACTTTGTGTGTTGAGCTGAATGTATTCCATATGCCTCAATATTTACGTAAGAAATATTTTTCACCATAAAAAATATTTAGAACAGTTATCTGCAAGAGTTTTTTTTTTACAGAAGTTATAGACATTTCTCAAGAGAAATAACTCTATCAATTCACTAAWAATAAATTTCCATTACAATACACTTTGATATACCTCATATGTAGTTGTCATGGATGGCTTGTATGATACATGATTTGCTCTTCTTAGCTCCTTGATAGTTTCTGCAGGCATTGATTTAGAGAACCCCAAACCACTCCATGTATTTGTTGGAGTTCTCACTTCTGTTACAACTGGCTTCTTCAGCATAGCTGAAAATACAGAGACAAATCAATAAACCTSAGCCTTAGTAAAGGATAATACTGAAGCTGTGTTTGCTAACAGCTTAAGCCCCAACAAACAGCAATCTCTAAACACCTCCACTWGCTACACAGCTTGAATCCTCCCTTCCTCAAGGCAATTTACTCTGCCAGAGGATAGTGAAACGCCACAGGGCTGCATGGAAGCCAAAAGAACCCTATCTGTTTCAAAGAGAGGAGCTCCTGTTTTTCGTTTGGTGAACAGGTAATTCGGTTTATTTTATAACAGGGTCAAAGATATGGTTAAGCCCCTTACCAATTCTACAACTTAATTTATCCCTGAAAAAACAGGCCATTTAGCTGACATGACAMACACCTTAAAGCTTAATTTGCATCCAAATAAAGTGAATTATTACAGTACTGAGCTCTCTGAAAACAATATTGATCATTTGCATACTGATACACTTACACATCCCATCTGCAAGCCGTTTACACTGTATTTTATACTATGTTGTTATTAAGAAATTTTTGGAATATAAAGCTAATATACAAACCTTTCACTACCACGTTCAGATTTTATTAAAAATCAGATTACAAAAACTTCAGGAAATCTTTCATCCATGTACTAACAAGCTTTTCAAAAGTCACWGTTCATCCACATACCTTTGGTTGCCAATAGTTTCTTCTGTTCATAGTCAAATGCCTAAAAATTAAACATGCAGAAGATAGTTTAATTGCCATTCTAGCTAAATGTCACTCTAGTACTCATCTCTTAGGGAAAACAAAGGGTCCCAAAGTGGCCAATGAATACACCTAGGAAAAWCCTGAAATACTGCACAGTCATTTGATGGTAGTCCAGCTAAAGCCTTAGTTACTTCAATTGTTCACTCAAACACAGATAAAGATTTTAAATAACGATGTGATTTCCATTGGAGGGAGGCTGCAGCAGTATTTACAAACTGCTTCGGCAGAATTCTTCTTTGTTTTTTTTTTAATAAAACATCTTTCATGCATAATATCTCTTCCTTAACCATCTGTTCTTAGCATTTAAAACATTCCTCAACAACACAAAAATGATAACATCTTAGCAAGTCTAGGCTGTTATCTTGTTTTTGTGATTTTTAATACTCTTTCAGGTGTAGCTCTTCTCTACATACTCATCTTATGAGAGGAAAAGAACTTAAAATTTTGGAGAATTTAAAGAACTTTTATATGTGTTTCACCTATGTTAGTGGAAGATGTGAAGTTTAAATACCCCTGATTAAATAAGATACACTTYGCTGAATTACAAATTAGGAAAACTAACCACACAAAATGACAAAAATGCTATATTAGCCTGAGGTATACCTAAAATAACTAGAGTAATACTAAGGAAAAGGGCTGTAAAACACTAACCTTCCTCTTGTTCCACTACGCTGTGGAGTCTGGTTATACCCATACTCTGACAGATCTATACTGAAAATAACCCTGTTACTGCTTCCTGACAGTCAAAGGGCTCTCCTCCCGCTTTGGGGAGATTTCCAGTAGCATGCTAGCAGATTGTATTTGTAGGCTGTAATTAACCAAACTGTCACTGCACATGAAAAGTTTTAACATGTATTTTGTAACGATAATTCTCTCCAAGCAACAATATAAGATTTCTTGCAGTCAAATAATGGAGACAAATAAGATTTTCTGTACTTAAATGTTTCTTACTCAACRGAAGCATAGGAGCTACTCCATTTTCAAGAATTTTTGTTGACAACTCATTCCTCAGCTGGGCTGAAATACTTTTACTCAACTGGTAATGACAATTCAGTCTGCATTCTATGGTAACTTCACTCTGCAATTAGCAAGGTTGATGCTTGATTGGCTTCTTTCATGGACACCTACCTGCATATTGACAAAGGAGGGCTGTGGAGCCAGACGTGCTCTCTCYGAGTTCTGCTGGGCGGCCGCTGCTCGCTCCGCTGCCCGCTCGCTGCCCGGGGCTTTCTTATCGGCCACGGGGCCTTCCGAGGGKGCCAGCTCTGCCTCCGAGAGCAGCCTCTCCGCCGTGCTGCGGGCAAAGGCACTGTTAGTTAGCTCAGGCTGCTCCCCACAGCACMCAACGGGCAGGGCAGTGCTGATCACTCAGCTTTACCCTGACAAAGCTGGCGGTCAAATTTAAGACATATCAACACGCAAATATCTCAGTGTTTTTAGCAATACTTCCAAAAGTTTCAGCTCTCCTGCACTGTTTTCTCTGTCAGGGAAAGAAAGCAAGTATTCCTCCTTCCTATATTACCAACGAAGAGGAATAGTTCATAGATTCACTTTTGAGCTGTCTGGAATCACTGCATGCAATTCCTGCGGGGTGACTTCCCATTTAGCCTTGCTCAGGCCAGCAKTTCTAACGGGTTCATAGTTGTAGGATAAAGACAGATTGTGCAATAGGGACTCAGAAAGTTGGCATACATCCCACATGCTTTTACAGTTTCAATAACTGCAGTCCTACATGCCCGCATTACCTCTTAATGCAATCCTTTTTTTTTCTTTCCTAAAACCCCAGCCACATCTTAGGCCTACTCTAGAACAGTATAAACTCTTACTTCAAAGCCATTTTYGAAGCTGTAAACTACTACCCACAAGGAAACCCTGTGCACTATGTCCTCAACAAAAAGAACAAAACACACAAATAAATTTGGTTAGCAGGATTGCTKGGATTTTTAAACTGTGAAAGCAGAATTAATGAAATACATATCATAAACTTGAAAGTGTAAATAAACAAAGCAAAAGAAAATATGTGTCACGAACGAGTGGTGATAGAGAGTTCCCGAACAAACAATGAGAACACGAGTACATTGGACAAAAACATTRCATTAAGAACAAGCCCTGTGCTGCCAAGATGTACTATGACTCAAATGAGCCTTTCCCACTGCTGGGTCATGAAAAAACCAACCCAACCAAAATCATCACTGAGACAAGTGTTTGAGAACATGCTGCTATGCCCTGAATACAGCTTTCCTAAGAAGAAAAGAACCTCAGCTACACACAAAAGSAAAAAGCTGTCAAATTATTCTCAAAGCAATCAATAAAGAAGGAAATTGCAAAAAGGTATACTTCAGAAACAGGTAATGAAAGCTCCTCTGATAAAAATCTCCATTCTTTTGTGGGGGAGGAGAGAAATTTTTTGAAACCCAAAACCAAACAGGACGAACAAAAAGCCTTCAAAGTCTGCGGTTATTAGACTTATGAGGGGCTATATTAATCCCTAATGTGATGGAAAATCAAGGCCAAATAAAATCAGTTCTTTGAGTATCCTATGACTGAACCACCCCTTCTATGTACAAAAACGTGAAGTAATTTCRTGTTGTGAAAGTTCCACTAATCTGTGTTTACAGGCTCAGCTTACTGTAAGTGGGAGTTTTTGGTGCCTTGCAGTAACTCCACCGTCTGTCTCTTGGCACAGCCCTGCTTGCAAGAGCTCATCATCTGCTTCAGGTCACTGGTGTTTGCAGAATGGGACGGACTCCGGGGCATGCCCACTTCTACAAACGCATCATTGCAACCTGCAGGGCCCATAAAAAGGAGAGGTAAGCCACCACTTTGCTGTGCTCTACTGAACTCGCTGCAGGAATGAGAGCTAAGGGAGAAAACCTCCTTTTCCTCCTCACAGGATTGTCTTCAGGGATAACAATTTTGTCATGGTCAAAYAGTCAAGACATACAAGTTCAAATGCACAAAAAAGTGTTAGCATGCACCTATACAGTAGTCATCCTTAGTATTTTGTTTCTTCAAATATTTAAGTAYTATTAATATTAAATGTGAATGCTGACAATTTGAAGTGACTGAGTATTCTGAAGAAATTTGGTTTCATACCCAGTTTTAAAAGACCTCCCCAGGTGCTCAGGAAGCTTCTGCTGGAAAAAGAGTTCCCTCACTTCATGTTCAAATATCTTTAGAACAAATATTTATTTCTACGAATATTTATCACTTAAGTGGGCAATGTACCTTTCATTCAAATCAGCATTTTAAATGACCACAACCCTAAATAAGAGAGGATCTCCTTCTTGATCAGTACTGGCAAGGGAAGCAAGGCCTTTACACGTATTTGCTCAAGCTTGAAGTGGTATTGACTTCCCCTCTCCCTGCATGATAGGGAGAGTTAAGTACTTCAGCTTCTAAAAGGCAACAAAGCTGAAATGCTGTTGCAAAACATGCAAATAAAATTATTTCCCTGTGTCATCAAGGTTAAATCTACACAGAATTTTAGGCAAAAACCTTCTCAGATACATTAAATACCTCCTTTTGCTACAAAGCAAAAACAAAATATTATTTTAACCATCAGAGATTGCTTTAAGCAAAGAGTTAAGCTCCTGAAAATAGAATAAAATCCTCATATGTTATCTCTCTCCGCTCCTGTGAAATAAATAAATTGTTGCAAGTGCATTTATGTTGATTCAAGGTGTTTCTATCAATAGTACACCTCAGTTACCACAGGTTCTATTTACTTTCTTTGAGAATGAATACAGGAGATACAGCACTATTTTCCTTTAATGTGGTTGCAAAACCAATTCACAAGGAATATCTTTACATTTTTGTATCATGAATTGTACACAGACTGCACAAACACTACCAGACAAAGGAATGCAATGTCAAAATCTTACCTTCTTCGCTATTTGCCTTGGCAGCTACTTGTTCTGAGGCACCRTGAGTATTTGTTTGCCTTACTGCATCACTGTGGGTTGTGCTCAGCACATTTTCTCCCAGCGATGTGGCAGACAGTGCAGCATACTTGATATTTGAGGCCTGAAAAGATTGTCACAAATCACTGAAGTGATTTTTATGCCTAAGGAAATATTGAAACAATTCCCCTTTTCTATCTGTGCAGGAGAGCAGTAAATCCATTCCTGGTTTAGCAGAACAATACATTTGAATGCTCTATTTTTCAATCTTTAAGTCATATTCGAAAACACTGCTGTTTATTTTTAAACTCASAAGTTTTATAAATCTACTAATATAGCTAGTTTTCTCTTTCAGCTTTTCTTAGTAAAGGTCTAGTACAAAGAAATCTGCTTCTTGAAGATAGCATCACTTACCTTTACATGACCGTTTAATGAAGCTGAGCCTTTTTTACTTTCTGATTGCAGGCCATTAACATGGACTTCAACAGGAGTCAAGCCTGGTGGTGGAGATGGAGTATTTTGACCATAATTAGGCACTCCAGACAGCAGAATACTAGTTAAAGTTGCTTGGGCAGTAGATGGTATCATTAGGTGTGGAATAGCAGAAAAACCTGTAACAAAATTTAATCATGTTCTGATTAAATTTCTCATTTAACTTCCTCAGTCATTACACTACTTTATATAAATCTTTATGTAGCTATGATACATTATGAAAAGGTTTCCATTAAAATTAGAAGTCAAAACCATAAGGCTTTATTCTAACCATTACTGGGTAGGTTAATTTCATTTTCTAACTAAAACTAACACTGCATGTTACAGCATGTCATATATTAAGTTATAACTTTAAATTTRCATATTTATTCATCCATGCTAAGATAAAGGTAGGAATTAAGGCTCCAAYGAATTAATTATTCCAGACCTGTCAGCTGCCATTCTAATGACTGGGTATTGTACAGTTCATTTAATTCACATTAAACTTCTACCAACCTGTGGTGTTTGTGTTAGCAAGAGATGTTGCCCATAAAGTGGGGCTGGGCGTGCCTGAACTTGGACTCTGCAAAGGGCTCACAGAGCTATTTAGGGCATTCAACAGAGAGTTTGGAGCAGTTGAGGTGTTGACTGACAGGGCTGTTGGACCTAAAAGGCCTGCAAAAAGTTATGCAAGTGAAKATTTAGCTCAGACTTACAGAACAAAAAAAATTACAGAAGTACCAACTGCAAAGAAACAAACAGCCCCCCGTTAAATTGCACCATCATGAGTTTCACAAACAAATTTTAACATTAAACCTGCAGCTCATTTGGTGCACRGAGCACATTAAGAATTCTTGTTCTTAAACTGGGAATCATATATCCAAGAAGAATTGGAGCATCTTGGATGTCCTAGTGGAACCTAACTCCTGTCATAATGTAGAGTCTGCACTGACTGCTTCTCAGGAACACCATCCGTCTGCTGCTTCTGATGGTTTGTTTCAAAGCAGCATCACAGAGACAAGAAAGCAACTGTACTGCACCACCTCACTTTCATTTCACACAGTAACCTTTTTCTAAGAAGCTCCTATAAATAAACCACTACTTCCATACTAAAAACTATTCATTTCCTTTTTGCACTTCCAATATGGGCTGCAAATCATCCCCCAAATGCATTGGTCACTACCAAAGCATTCCCCCACACCAGCTCTTCCTGTAAGAGCATTCACAAAAGAGTTCAGCACTATACACTGAAAAGGTAAAAGCCCCCAAAATGCAGCAAGACAAGAACAATCACAAAAAGCAGCATTAAAAATCCCAGTCAAATGGCACAAACACTTGCTCCTGTGTCACTAGATTCTTCTGTAACTGCTTGGTTTTTCCGTATGTTTCTGATACAAAGGTGTTTGCAGGGCTTGAAAATGAAATGGWAATTGCAATCTGGACTATGAGCTTCTGAAAAATATGAAGACAGGAAGCTTACTGATTTCTGTCCTATATTTCAATGGGTAAGTAAGGTCTAAGCTAGAAGCACGTGGATCTCTCAATTACAGTGAGATACTGGAGTGAAATGTGGGGTTGACTACGGAACTTTCATGGTACTGTGGAGAGGTTTAACCAACCACCCAAATCCAGGAAAGCCTGAGAAATCACACACCCCAAGAAGCTGTGAAAGCCATTCCCTGTTTCACCTGCATTTCCTCCGTTTCACATTCACATTGCATGCTTTCAGAGATTTTTCTACAGGGATGAGTCCCACACCTGATTACAAAAGCCTTGGAGAAGTTTTATAACAAACCCTTCAGAGGCCAGAGGCTGTTACGATTCTCGAGCACTTTAAGATGATTCCTTACACAAAACACAGATCTAGTCCTTTTTCCTGGTACAAGTGAATGAAAAGTCAAACAAACCTATATTAAAAAATAGAAATATCATGAATACATACCAAGCCCAGTGAGTCCTAGTCCTGCTGAGGACAAAATATCCAAACCAGGACAAGACAGACCGACGGGGCATGAGACAGTAGAGGGATTTGAGGGATTTGACACAATGGTGACTCCGCTGCTTTCCAGCCCCAAGAGACATTTCCGTGCCTCGTACATATTTAAGGCATTTCGTTCAACGCTTTTTACAATCACAGACTGTAGGGAAAGCACACAACAACAAAGAGGGAAAACCAGTAAGTAAAACTTGTCCAAAACACAGATCACAGCACAGGTAATTCTTAATACTCCTTCATGGCTACCACAACACCATAGCAGCGTGAGACAGCATGAGCTAACAACCATTAGCAACTATTCAAATTCAGGGGGTGTGAGAGTAAGTTTAGGGATTTCATAAGGATTTGCAACGAGAATTATGGAAGACTTCTCTAAGAAAATTAATTACTATTGTACCTTGGTRCTACTTGGAAGACCAAATGTTAAGCAACTCAAGAGCTAGATAAGTGAATCAATAATTAGTATCTTATCTTCTCTTTATACTGTGAAGCAGATAAAAACCAGTTGTTCATAATAAACTCAGTTATTAAATTCACAGCTGTCTGAGAATAAAGTAGTAAGTGCGTGGAAAACTAAGCTCAAAAAACCCCCTTCTTCTTGTACATTCTCTGCAGGATGTTTCTTTGCATTGATTTTATACATCCCTACACAGGCAAGCTCACCCACTGACACAATGGAATGATCATTTAAAATTTTAAAACTTTTGCCTACTTTGGCATTGCATACAACACAGATAACTGCAAGAGTCCCCTATCCATACCTGCCTGAGTATTTCACAATGAACACCTCCCATTTCCTTGATCAGGATATCCTGTACAAAAGCTATTTTCTTTATTATTATTGAGCATTTTGTGAAAGCCAAATTACACTAAAGTAGAGCTGCTAGATACCAGTATTAAACTGGCATTTCAAGCAGAAAACACATATGGCTGTCACAAGTTCATGATCCATTAGGCTGGGGAGGAAGAGCACCCATGTCAACTCACCAGCTCTAAAACTTGGTCATGAAAGCCTAAAAGAAAAATATTAGCATTGCACAAACCTTGCTCGGTTGCTTTGGCTTAGGCTTAATGCTTATGAAGACATCTAACTGCTCCATTAGCTGTGTTATAAACTGTGGTTCTACTTCAATTTCTTCCTTCATATCAAACATGAGCACGAGGGGAAGGCAACCCTAAAAAGAAAGGCACAAAAATTCATAGTATTTGGCAGGAACTGATGGCAGGACACWCATACGAAAAGTTTGACATTAAACCATGTTTGAAATAAGGAAACACAATTCTAAAAAATCTCTGTCAAAGTCACTATTGCCAAAGTCTTAACTTTTACCTTTCTCTTCTTTCCAGATCAACTACATAAATGTTTTTCAGTGATATGGATAACATCTGTAACACACTTGAAATACTAAAACTTTAAAAACCCCAAAACTGAATGGTCCATTAATATTCACATATATAAAAAATGTGTATATGCATTAGTACTAAAATAATGCCTAAAGGCTCCTGTGATATTTAAAGACCAATATACCAAAAATAATGACATTCACGACCAGAGCTATTTTTAAAAGGCCTTATAGAACTGTGGCTATGGTACTATAAGGAAAGTAAGACCATGGAATGAGTAATTATTTCCTATGATCCCGATCTCATTGAAAACTTGCCTGCATGGKAACTAAGGAATTGCTGACATTTCCCCTCAAAAGAAACCTACTTACCTGACAAACAYAGAGAAGGCAGGTTGGCAAAACAAAACACAACCTGTCACCCAACACATACAGAACATTTYAGAAATCTGCCTCTACTCACAGACATATTGTTGTTGTAAATTTAAATCGTTTATGTTGCATTTGTATTACCAAGGTTATTTTCCAAGTCGTGTTGGAAAGAGATTACAAATATTTTCAATAACTACAAATACTGACAAAACTGACAAAACTGAGTCAGCTGTTCAGTGTGAGYAGCAATCCTTCCTCTCTAAGGCTAATTTACATTGGACTTGTAAATAAATGCAGGGTGAGCACATTTTCTACAATCTGGCAATTTTTCCATGCAAGTTTCACTGAAAGTATTTACCATGAGATATTGCCTGGCAAGACAGACAGACTCAATTGTGCCCTGGAGGTAGACTGTRGATTTCTTCTGTGGGTTACTGGGGTCAGGGAAGTGGATCTGAGCACCAGTCCTCTGCATGATATGTTTGATGTTGCTGCCGTTTCGACCCATCATAAAGAGATGATGCTGTGCTGCAATGTCAAGCTGTGTGCTCACAGGGATTGCAGAGGCCAGGSTCCCAGCCAGGTGTTCCAAGAGCATGGCTGTTCCTTCCTGGGGGGAAATGGGAGAATCCTGTGAAAAGGGCTCTCAGGCACACAGAACACCACCTCAGACCACTTCCTCACTTGTCATGCACTCCACAGGCAACATGAAAAAAAACACTGTTTGATTTGAAACCACAATTGATCTGTTAAAGGTAACAAATGAACTAAACTCTACCCACGACTCCCATTTTGTGAACAAATGCAGCATTTAATTGCACTTTGTAAAAGGCAGCAAGACAATGTATGTGGTTTGGTCCCAATAGACCTTCTGTGGCCACACAGGCAGGCAGGAAGTCAGTAGAGATTTATCTGGGTGGGTACACTTGCAAAATCTGCCTTCCAGTTTTGGGCTCAGATGTTCTTACTGAGATAGACCCATCTGGCACCATATCCATCTCYCATACTGCCAGTTCCTAACAAGAACACTTTTTTGCTTTATTAAGATGAGCAGGCTCTTGGCAGTTTCTTGCCTTGACTGTCAAATTCACATCTCCCAGTGCTGTATTTGCAATAGCAGTTGCATTGACTGGGCAATTTTCAATGTCATATATTTGAGTGCATGGAGAAAAGAGCTCAGTGTGAAGAATTTGAACTGGGAGGGGTGTTTTCCAGATTTTGTTCACATTTTTTTAAATTAAAAGATGGGTAAGATCAGCATATATTCCAGAACTGCTCAAAACCTAAACAAATGCGCTGAAGGTGAACACCAGGTTAAAACCTTACCACGAAGAATGTTAAAACATGAACTTAAAACTATTTTCTATGCATTTTTATACCTCATCTATATCATTTAAGTATGGAAAAAAAATCAAATCCTCAGGCTTTGCAAGTGATTATACAATAATATGTAGTGATGAGGCAAGATATAACATCTTAGGCATCTAGGTTATGAATATATGACATTCAAAAACTCGATTAARAGGAGAGATTACCTTCACAGCACTAGTGTTGTTTTGTGAGCCTCTGACAATGACTGTAGCACCATACATTCGAGAGCGTTGTTTGAAGGAAACTGAAATGTTATAGGTCTGACAGATGTGCTGAATGGTTGGAGAATTGGGATCTGGGATGGGTTGGAGAATTCCAGCAATAGGCAATTCAAACATGAGTACCAATGGAAGCAGCTCCTGCAACAATGAAGAGCAAATATTGAAACCCAGAACCATGCTCACTAAAACTACAACAATTTTATTCCTCAGTCATAATGTACTGGTCTTGATTGGGATGATTAAACCAACATAACACATCCTCTGCCCACAGCTGATTGATATAAGATCCTACTGTCACTTGGGAAAAGGCACCTATTTTCCCAGGGATATCAGTGTGGGGTTTTCTTGCACAGGCTTTTTTGSCTTTTGCTTGTTTGTGTGTTTTTCCTCCCAAACAGCCAGACCATTTGCAACCATGAAGCAACAACAAAGCAAAGTAATTTCCACACACCTATCCATCTACAAACAGGTCAATATTGGTAAAACTTGCTAGAGAGTCTCTTTGCTCTCATGGATTAACTGGAACTCTGAAGTCAGCTACAAAGCTAAGCAAACATCAACTTCTTTCATTACAAGGCTGTGTGACACCTCTGACTAAACAACTGCAAGAAACKTCTCCTAATTTATTTGAATTTTAATTATCCATGCCAAAATACACATACAAGTTGAAACTAGAAGGAAAAGAAAATAGCTACAAGTGGAGAATGACAGTGATTATTTACACAAATTACACGTGAAAACAGTATGATTTATATAAAAATTATAATATAATAATAAATTATAAATAATATATAAATTAAAAATTAATAATATAGAAATTGTTTGAATAGAAAAATATATAAATTATAAATAATAATATTATAAATGTAATAACAAATGATAAAATGGTAAGAGGCAGCAATTGCCTTTCCCAAGTCAYAGATTCACACAGGATACCTGAGCTTCCACAGGCCATCTGTGGTGGGTAAGTTAAGATGTAATTTTCTACACAATATGGAATTGATTTACATCTTACTTGTAGCTAAGTCTGGGTGTTCAAGACCCACCTTGGGCTAATGAAAAATCCGGCCAGAATGTGAATCACTGTTACAATATCCCAAGCCTGTTTCTCATTTGGATACTCACATTTGTTCCTACATTTCTGCTGGCATTAGACAGACACCCTAGATAACCTAGATAACCCTAGGGTTCCCAAAACTATGCATTTTTCTCTGTCAGGTGTTTTCAAGGGAACACTGCACTGAACAGTAGCATACCCGAATTCTGACTCTTGCGGACTCCACTCCAGCTGGCTGTCCTGCAATAGACACCTGGAAAAGCAAAAATATGGAAAATATTGCATCCTATTTTCAAATGAAGCACAGAAAATGTATTCAGATAGCTGAGCTCTCCTTAAAAAAATAAATCTAAAAAAATAAAATCAAAATCAACATTTATTTCATAGGGGGTGACATCTTATTTGTTCTCTAAACTGTAGCTGAGAATGATAACCCATATKAAAAGAATTATCTATGCATGTTATAGCATCTCAGGTTATATATATTTAAGCAACTAGRAAAAAAGGATGCATCCAACAATGCAGTGGTTTGATCAAAGAATGGAAGTATCACCATATACCTGTGCTCAATGCTAATATTCAACAACAGTAGATTTTCTTGCATGTTTTGATAATTACTGTATTTTGTACAGCAACCATTAGRAGGCATAGGTGGGAATTCTAAACACAAGGATGAGAGACTTGAAAGTAAACATTTCACCAAGATTAGCATTRGAAAAGATGCACAATTTAAGCTCCATGTCTCAGAAGAATAAAGTTGAACTCTTACAACAGGACATTCATTTCTGCAGCCTATCCACTAAGTTTAGTCTTCAACTAAGTTACAGTATAAGCAAAAAGCAAAAAAACAAGCAATCAATATGCTGATTAAATCATGTGTTGAACATGAAAAGAAATTTTAAAAGCAGATTTTTTCRTACCACTTCTCTACCATTCACACTTCTATATGCACAAAGTAATTTTAGCTTAAAAAAATTCAGATGATTCATGAGCCATCAGAAATTGTTTCCATCTGTTTTTAAAGATTTGCTCACTTAGGAAGTGTTGTGCTTTCCACACAGTGTAAATACCAAAAATCTATTTCCCTGAACATGAACACATCATCCCCAAAAACCCCAGATTAAGAAATAAAGTTTAGAAATGTTTTATACTCTGAAGAATTACAATRTAAATGAGCTCAGTATTCAACAATACTTACTTGGTTGCTTTTCTCTGCTTGATTGTTCCTATTTGAGTCTGGAAAATGGATATGGCATCCTGTTTCCTCCATCACCTTTTTAATATTATTGCCACCTTTACCTATCACATGAGAATGTTCTGTATGTGAAACATCCATCTTCAAGGTTACCCGATTGCTCTGGAAATCAAGCACCCATGATTAGAACTGGTCACAGCAGAATCTGATAATTTAAATTTTTAAGCCTAATGTAACTTTGAGAATGACATTGAAAATTGTATTTCTAAACTATTTTTGCCATGGCTTAACTTCTACTCAAGGATGGTGTTTTTAATGAGTTGGATGCTAAATTAGTCACATTTTCTTTCCAGTGAGGAAGTAACATGGAGATATATACCCCAAAAGATGCATCTTCAAGAAAATGTCTTTTAAAATACCCCTGAACTTTCATCAACTGTGACTCAAGTGTCCTTTTGCAATTCATTCTAATTTCTCTTAATTTTGGGTTCTTTCAGTTGAAGCTATGCACCTCTGTTTGACCYGAAAGGATCACATTATGAAGACTTGGCAAATCAAAGCTGTGGGACAAAGAAACAGTGTTCTTTTCTTCCTTAAACAAWTTTTTTTGTTCCATGAATTCTTAAAATACACAAACACTGCTGTTCTAAAAGCTCTATTGTTAACAGCCCATAGTGATGTTGTTAATAGTTGTTCAAAAAGTGGTGCTTATCACTYGAGTGTTCCTTTGGCAAACTGCTCACAAACCAGAAAGCTGCCATAAAACTACACAGGAGCCATATACACTGCCCCAAAAGAGGTGCTATTGCATAAAAATAACATCTGATGAACAGAAGATAGCCCTGGCCAAAATCTGGATGTTTTAGAAATTCTGGTCCTGATGTTTCAGAGTGTAAAATAACATTCAACATAAAGCTGCATAAATGTTCCCAGAATTGAATTTGAAACAGAAACAAAATTTCAGATTYTCTGAAGTGGTTGCATAATCTACTGCCTGCAGTGAAGCTGTGTTTCAGATTTTAAGGTAAAACCCCAATTCAATGAACAAACCATGTATGCTTTTAGCCATATGGTTGGAAATATTATTTCTATATAGTTCAGATCTGGAAAAGCTGCTTTAAGCAAGTATTTTTCTTGCAAAATATTTAAATATATGGGTATATACCAATAYCAACATCTGCAAGACATATATTGGAGCCTTTGCTTCAGAATGTCCATAAATACCTTCTTGCGAAATGTACCCATTAAAGAGATCAATGTCACCACAAAATTAGGGGTTAAGGTGTCATTCTAACAAAGTTTTCTTACTTTTGTGTCCAAGACAGACATGATTTTCTCTTTTGCTTCTTTAAYGTTTTCTTTTTTTCCAGAAACTTTAATATGGGGATCTATAAAAGAAATAAACTTGTCAGAAAAATACAGTAAAATATCTATAAAAATTTTCCTCACTGCTCAAATAAATTTGAGCCCGTTATTTATAACCCGCGATAAACTATACCACAAACCTTTGGGATTCAGCTGAAGATCAAATTTCTTATTCCATCCCTTCAGCCCCACAATTAGGATTACCAGATGAATTTATTAAACATGATAACCAACTTAATATAAATATAAATATAAATCAAATTCCAAATGTATATCACAGTTTCACAGATAGTGTCTGCAATGCAATGATGTAGTTAAGCCATCACACCTCCTCAAACAAAAAGTAACAGAGAACAACTAAAAGTTTTTTGGCACCCACCAAACTCACACCCTGCTCATCATCACTTTATTAGATCTAACTAGGCTCTAGAAATGTCCCTTGCAGTCTTAACCTGGCACTAAAGGTGCCTTTACCCAAAGTTTTTAGACTACAATTATCAAATGAAATTTAAAGGACACTTTAATAAAACAATCTCTGAAGTGTCAAGTACATAAATTAGAAGGAACACTAGCTGAGGGCAGATTTTGCCCAGTGAGATCTAAAATATTTATTCAGCCTGCTTGGTTTACTCAGACTGCTGATTCTCAGACTGCTGCCCCTTAAACAACACAAGGTGTTGGGCTGAGCTACCAGGTACAGTGCTGCATCCCATAATAGACACCAGGTCRGAAAGCACAGTCCTGACTTTGGAAMTAAATCAAGCATCAATTACTCCAAGTGTGAAAATTACAGGTTAGCAGCACCATCTGGTGTCCGGGAGTACAAAGTGCCGCGGTGCAAAMTTACTGTCAAAACATTCAATGTAAGTTCAATTAAAATTTAAAAATGCCCCACTACAATCGACATTTCTAATTATTAGAAACAAGSATATGATATTGCAGGTGATGCCTTTTCCCCCTGCCTTTTTGCAATGTAACAGTGCTTTTTTTCCTGTGATGCAATGGACTGTTTTCAAAAAAAAAAAAAWAATTCTCAACCCTCTTCTGACTCATGAATTAATCGATTTTATATGCTAGAAAAATACATACATCTCAGGGAATGTAAAAGTAAATATATTCTRAATGGCAGAAGAAAACAGCTGCAACACAATATAGCTGCCTTTCCCATTATCTCAATCATGGAAATCATTTTCCTACTACAGAAATGCAAAATAATACAACTTCAGGTTGTAAACCTGTTCTATTCAATTGAAAATTGAAACTCTTTAAGTCATGCCTGGATACTCTTTTCATTCCAACAGCAAAAAWAAGCCTTTAGTCTTTACTACGGAGAAGTTCTGAGCACATTCAGTGGGGTGCAGAAACACTGAAGGAACACAGGATTCACTGCCAAGTTTCATGGCARTCAAGAAAAATGCAGCATTTTGAGTTCTGAGAAACGGATATATTTTATTTTTTAAAACAGAAAAACTGTAGTCACAAAAGCATTGTACACACAGTATCTACAGAGGCTTAAAAAATCTGCTGCTTCAGCCTTTCACAGTGGAGCACAGTGAAACTAAAACCCAACAAAACAGTCTTAAAGGCAAATTTTCTTTTGTTTTTAAAGCTGACAGGAAGCCATGTGGTTCTAAAGTGTTTAAGCTGATATTTGAAGTGGATGTCAGAGTCAGAAATTTTGCACACCGTGTGTGCTCCAAGTGCTCTGGAGATGCAACCAGGAAAAACACAAGACCAGACCACCAGCACCACTGTGGACTGATTTTCACRTATCTGCAAACATTCTATTTAAATACACATTTGATTATATGTATGAAAAATAACTGTAATCAAGCCTGGCATCCTGTTAGTACCAAAGGAGATTACTGTTATTCAATAATACTATTTGCTTACCCATGGGTGAAGATACATTTTAGAATACCTATTAATTCCATTTCTCACCTCAGTGAACACCTCTTTTCTGTTGATAGTGGCAGCTTCAGCCAAAAACCCTGTATTTCTACACTTATTTTTTTTCTTTTTAGATTAAAAAAGCTCAGTTATTCACTTGAAAAACAAAACCAAAGAACCACCTGCAAAGCAAAAAAAAGAATCCACTGGTGTCAGTGACAATTCCAAAATATGCTATCAAACCTTTCAAAATGGGTCTTAAGCACCCTCTCCTTCTTTGAATTTTTCCCAAGGACAGAGTGGTTGGAAATGGATGCGAAGCAGGTGACTGTTAAGTTAAAGAGATTCTTATTTTAAGAGGTGTTCACACTTTCCTTCAATTAAACACTTTAAATAAAACATCCCTGTCAAATTTTGCCTGGAAAGAGTTACGTGTAACTAAAACATTTTGAAGTATTTGAACTGGCCTTGTGTGAGTTGAAAGCACTTTGAAATTCTATGTGATCTGCAGGGAAACTCACAAGTACCCAAATAACAATCAACAAACAGATTGTTTCAGGAATCAATTAAAAATTTTGAGAGACAATTAGATCATAATAACCTGATTTTCTGTGTATTACAGAAATCAATTTTTTTAATACACCTGTGGAATCAATTAGCTTGTTAACTTTGCAGTTGATTCCATTGCAGTTGATTCCAATAGCTACATTTAATTTAGGAAAAAATAAATCCTACCTTGTCTTAGCACTAAGACAAAAATCGTTGTTGGATAAAGCACAAACCTGGTCCCAGTCATTATCTGCACTGATCCAAGCACATCATGCTGGCTGGAAGGAAAACACCCACCCAACACARCCAAACAATTCCCTGGCTGGGGCCACAACAATGCCACTTTTATCATTCCTCATCCCTGAGGAGCAAAGGGTTTGATACCTGTTTTTACTGGGGGAGGAAAAAAACCCCAACTTCTTTTAAGCTCCTGAATAGAACTGGAAGTCTACTTCATAAAAAAACAGAGAGCAAAGAACAGGTGCCTACCATAAAYAACGACATGAGACACCCAAGCTTTGCAAACTATTTGCAAGCACAGAACAAAGGCTTCAGAAGAGGTCTGTAGGCTAGAAGCATATAGGGCTTTAATGCTTTAAATATAAGTGTAGTATCAGACCCTGAGAAAGGTTTTGACTCTGAAGAAATGGCATGATTAGTGTCTTGCAAACTATTAAAAATGCCATTGTATAGCAATCCATCTTTTCCATCAGTTTTGAAGGGCAGTATATTTTTCCGTAACAATGAAAAATTTAATTTTAACAGGCTTTGGCCCCTCTCTTCTCAAGAATGAAGGAATATTTACACAGAATAGAAAGCTGAAGTTACACAACAGACACTGCTGGAAATTTTTCTCAACAGTTTTCATTTTGCTAGACTSCTGCCTTCAAGTGGTCTTTTATTGCTCCTATCCTCAAATTCCTCACTGGACACTTTGGCAGAGTTTCACCCCCTCAGTCTTTGTCCACAGCTGTACCAGCAAGCCTCCAGCTTTATTGTCACTATTGTGTGTGACACTTCAGTAAACAAAATAAAATTCCTCCAAGCAAAAATATGTTTGTGCCAGTGCAAATGYATCTAAACCAACCTTTGCCAGGCAAGAAATATTTCAAATAATTGAGCCATTGAACTGGGTAGGCCTCTCCTTCAATTCAAGTGTTACATTTAATGTCTGGGGGAGCTCTTCAGGCCACAGCTATGCATCCAGTTTGTTTACAGGATGAACAGCCCTGACTTAAGCAACACAAATACCACCACTCCAAAAATAGCCAGACAACTGGGCAACACCAGGGCAGATGACAGTCACTCTTAACGAGTGGCTGATTAAGATCTGAATAGCCTAAGAGTATTACTGAACTTGAGCCATTCAAATAAAAAGACAAAAGAGACACACTATTTTTAAGGGACAAGTTATGAAAGTGTCTGCCCCAAAGGTACCAGCAAAAACACACTAAGCTATATGAGAAGCTAAAACAAAAACAAAAAACCCATATGAACACAAAGAAGTTGGTATGTTCTTATCTGAAAGGACAAGTACATTGTTCACCCTACAACAAGATGAAAAAAACACAAACCTATAAAATAAATGAATTAACGAAAAGGCAAGGCTTCCTATTAATATGGAAAAAAAGATAATTGAATTGAAACTATTTATTTAATGTTCTTAAATAAATWAGGAAATACTTTGTGTACAGTTTTAGGAGATGGATTGGTAATAGCCATGACAGACTTGAAACAGGCTCAAGCTATTGCCATGGAAAAGTAACATTAAGGCTGAAAGCAYGCAGCAAATGCTCAAGAGTAAGGGCACATGTGAAGGAATTTGATGGAATAATAAAGTAAATTGATCACTTTGGCACTTGGTGCTGTTGGCTCACCAGTTTAAAAGAATTCTCACCCCTCACCCRCTCCAATACAACTCAGGCCACTCACTTCTCCCAGCACCTAAACCACAGAAGGAAAAAGCTCCTCATGTATTAAGGCAGAAGGCAATGAGCCATTTCYTAATGCTCCTTAGTATCCTCAGAGGTATCACTCAACACCACCACACATTTTTTTCTTTGGAGCCTGTCTTTTTTCTTGTTTTTCAGTTGAAATTAGACTTCAGCATCATTGTCTCTGAACRGGAGCTAACATGGGCGTGATCAAAAGCCTACCCAGAGCATCATAAAAGTCAACATGGGYTGCAAGCAATTAATAATGTCTTCAGAGTAGACATATCCTGAGGCTCTGGGCATTCTAGGGGATCTGTTTGTTGTGGATAAACAAGTGATTATGAAATATCCCTGGGAAGAGCTAAAGCCAYTGCCTATATGAGCGCACATGTTTGAAAGACTCTTTGTCTCCTCAGCACTTCTTCACTCTTAACTTTCCACTTACSGGCACCTAACTCCAAACCACCTTTAGAAGAATTTCTGCTCAGCTCAGAACACGAGAGGGAAGCTGAGCAAACCAAGTAAATCCTTGTTGCACTGTTCCTGCACAGCTCCAGGGAAGGCAGYTGGCACACAGCCCCTCACTCCTGTCGCATTCTGGTTGCTGCCATGCACTCACCTGTGGAGCATTCACTACCAGAGCATTGCTT